CCATTACAAGTATCAAATATAGATCTTTTGCCTCTCATCTCTTTCTTTCTCTCTTCCTCCTTTCTCTGCACTCAGTCTCTTTTCTGTCTTCCCCATTTCTCCTTATCACTCCTCTCCCTTTTTCACCTTGTCATGCCTCCCTTCTCTTTCATTGCTGTACTGTAGAGGGAAGGGGGGATGTTTGGAGAGATGATTAGAAAAAGATGAAAGTTTTGTATCTGGTAGCAAAGTTCACCTCTCTCTTTCTCTCTCCCAGCAGCAAGGGCTAATGGATTAGTTCAATGTGCTGATTTCTGCAGAAAACTGCCAGAAACTGCTTGTGTGTGTCTGTGTGTGTGTGTAGTGGGAAGTGTAGAGACGTTCCTTGCCTACATGAGCACATCACTTGTTGGAGCTTTGGGCTTTTTGTGTATGAATGTGATTGTGTATATGTACAGTCACTCTCGATGTGTGTGTGTTTAAGTGACAAAGATCTAGATATAGCTTCATGAAAGATGCCACACTTTTCTACTTTGTTCCATTATGGCAGACACACACACATGGCCATTTAATAATAGATACCAGTCACCACCACCTTTCTCATTCTTCCAGACAGAGAAACACGTCAAAGGACAAAACATGGATGAAAGGGGTAGAGAGGGAAGGGACGGCATGGTGCCACCCAGAGAAAGCTGCTGACACTTCAGAATGCCAGATGGACCAAAAGGGGCTTTTTGTGATGCTCTTTGTGCCCGCTCGGATTTAGAGGCAACGTTCTTTCTTCATCCCAGGTTTCCTTAAAGCACATAACTAAATGGATTACAGTGGAGTACACAGCAGTGAGGACATTATCTGAATTTAGTTAAGGGTGGTTTTTGGCTCAAATTGGAAGGCAAGACTGTCAAACCATCAGAAAAGGAGAAATCTGGCACTGTCCTCCCAGTAAAACCAGCCCATACCATAGGTCGCCTGTGCAAGGTGCTATTTACAACCCCTAGTTACGTTTTATTGTTCAGCGATGTCTAGCAGTCATGTCAATCAGCATCAGTCATTTTAACAAATGCCCTAAAACGGCATGTTTATGTTTGAGAGGAAAAGTGGCTCACGGTACTGTAATTATGACAGAAATAAAGGAGGAGGTCAGGTGATATTCTACAGCAGCAAAGTCCTGTTCAGGAGGCAGGTCAACAAAACATCTGGCATGAGAGGCTGCTGTTTCAAGCCATTACCATGACAACAAAGGTCCTCTAACTTCAACAAAGTACCTCTGATCGATCTGTAAGCCTAACCAAGCATTCACCATAACATTATTCTATCATAAAACAGTTATTTATTTTTCAACCATAATTTCTAGAATAAACTGTTGGTGCTCTGCAAAAGATATATGGTAAATGATGTTTATGCTACGTGCAGCTTTCATCAATTTCAAAACTCTGCATTTAGGGTCATATGCAGAAATGTCGCTTGTTTCATTACAGTGACACCTGCAGAAAACATTTAGTGGGGGACCAGTGAAATTCTTGGGGTGGCACACTAAAAAGATTACATGGCATAGAGGAATTTCAGGCTACACAAGTTAACAGAAAGGTAAGGATATTAAATGATAGTATAAAATAAACAGCATTTTTTGAGCATGTCACAGATTTGGGATTGTGAGCAGCTGGTTTCCCTCTTTTCTTCAGCGAAAACAATGGGAAGAGTCACTCACAGACTTAATTTTACATTTAGCGTTTTCAGTGACAGCTTCAGTGACAGGAATTCATGAATTCACCTGGTCCATTGATGCCTACTTGAAGCTAAAACACTTCAACACACCACATACAATCCCTGGTACTTAGAGAGGACAGACATAATTTCCCCTGTAATGGATAGATAACATTTTGCATCCACAGCTCCAAGAGGGAGCAGGCATCTATATTTCATCCCACAGTGATACACAGCTGAGACACTCGGTAAGTGGTGGCGAGAAAGAGAGGGGACGTCCATTCATATTTTATCAGAGAGACACTTGGCTGAAACAACCAGTGAAAAGAAAAGGACACAAAGAGAAAGGACAGGCATTCATATTTCATCACACAAAGATACACCTACTTAATAAAACAGGAAAACAGTAGAGGAGAGGGACAGCCATCTAGCACCTGATAACTCTTGGGGACGTCAATAAATAGGCATGAGGGACATTTTTAGAGAAGGAGGAGGAGTGAAACAGAGCAAGATACACATCCATATTTCATCAGGAAGAGCCTGAAATGGCCGGTAACAGGTGGGTATCAATATAGATGCATCAGGAGCACTTTGGACAGAGGGAGAGGGACGCGGAGAGCGCTTCAGTGAGGCAGAAGCACACGTGAAAGCTGATAACTGCCTCTATGAATATAGACACATTCACGGTGACATTTATAGACAGCCATTAGACTTTAGGCTGTTACTTTGCTGACAGTTTAAGACACCCACTTACTCTAGTGCTTGGTATGGTTTTGTCGTTTGCAGAGCTTTAAATGCACATAAGCCGTTTACGGGTTACAGCTAAAGTTTTACTGGTGAGAGATAAAAGCAGGACACAGAGTCAAGGCAGACAAAGTCAGGTGTGCAACAATTGCCTTTTCACTGGATTAAAGGGATTGTAAGCAAGAACTGGCTCCCTAAAATGTCATGTAAAATTCCTACATTTTGACTATACGTGTTTTTTGTTTATGTCATTGACTAATATATGATGGACATGGTGTCAGCACTGTCCTCCACTATGCAAAAGTGAAGCCAAAATACCGTGAATAAGGAGGCTGTTTCAGCCAAATTCTACGCAGCAGTGATCAGAAGTGGAGTGAAAGATCAATCAGCGATCATCAATCTGTCAAATCAACTAAAATACATCGCTTTTCATCAAATAACTTATTAAAACCAACCTTACCAGAAAAACAACCACCAGCATGGACATCAGTGTGATAATATCTACCAAAACTCACAGAAGTCACCTCTGGGGAAACTGGATCTGATTCATACTTTCACTTTTTAATTTGGCTCATGTCCATATCCACTAACATAGAGGAGGTGGGACTTATGGCCTGCACTGCAACCAGCCACTGGAGGGCAACCGAGGCGCGGTGGCTTCACTTCTGGGAGCTGTCATGGCGTCCATAGTTTATACAGCCAATGGTCTAGATTGTCTGGTAATAGCGCTGAAAATGAACTGCTAACTGTGGTGTTAGGTACAATTCTGAGTTTATTACACCTTGTCTTATTTTAAGCTTTGCCCATATGTTCATCATGTGACTTTAGCCCAAATTAAGTTGGAATCTTATCTGAAAGTGGATGTAGAATAGGTATCCATGTAGTAATACTGCTTGCAAACCAATGATGATAAGATGATGTCATGGGGTAGGACTGGATAAGTCTGACTTCTTCCTACTCCGTTCAAGCATGTACTAGGTATAAGCAAATTGAAAATATTTTTGTGGATATGTCTGGAATTATGTGTGATTACATACTGACTGTTGTTACATGTTTGAAAGAATAAATAAATCACATCAAATCAAATCAAAGCACTGTTCCCTTGGACCAAAATGTCCATTATTGGTCTTAACTAGACGGAAACGGTCATCACGTCTTTGTCAAGTAATCTAACGACTAAAAAAAACCCTAAAATGCCAAGTGTTTTCAACTAAAACAAGACTAAGATGTTTTCTCTGACTAAGGTGAGACTGAAATGACCAGTCAATAAAAAACTGAACTAAACTAAAGTGTACAGACACACATAAGCACACATTATTCTTTTCTGTTAAAGAGACAGATTCCAAAACACATATTTGTACAAACACACACACACAGATGTGCAAGTGTATGCAAATGTCCTCTGCCTTTCTCTGATTTAAACACAACTGCACACACACACACACACATAGCTGTACAATCCCCAGTCCCTGAACTTGAGATTGCCTTCTCCACTCCAGTGCATTGTGGGTATAAGATTGACTAATCGTTGTGTCACAAGTATACCATGCTGCATCTCTCTCCACTAATGTAATGGCTCTGTGTGTGTGTGTGATTGTTTTGTATCATCTAGAAAGCAGCAACTCTCCTCATCGTCTAACTGTAATGTTTCTTATTGTGTTGTGCATGTGTGTCTGTGTGTATGTCACTATTCATTTATTTGTTTTTCAGTTATAGGTGTGTGTTGTGGCTGTGTGCGTGTGTGTGTGTGTGTGTGTGTGCCATTGAGAGGAAATGAGGCCTCCTTATTTAGCCTGACAACGCAATGAGCTGCTGAGACGAGATGAGTCTTATTTATTGGGCCCCAGGCCAGTGAGTGTGTGTGTGCGTGTGTTTCTGTGCCCCTCAGACTAAAATGATCACAGTGGTGCAGTAGTGCACTCTCGTCACTGTGTGTGCTGACAACATAATTGGTTGGCCTGGCATTTCAATTCACCAGTGCGAGATTGCTGTGGGCTACTCCATTCTCTGCTCCGTTAGCCACTGCTGCTAATAATCTGGGCGACGCGGAGGGCATGGCGGTGTTCTCACCACGCAGTATAGACACACCGCTGAAGATGATTCAGTGTGAAGGATATGAAATTTACATCTAATGCACTTTTTGCATCAAAACTTTACTTCATGGATTCTTTGTTTCCTTTCTGCTTTCCCTGTTTCTCAAACATTTTAATTAAAAGCATTAGCACATTCAAATATCTCTCTCACCGAGGAATCAACAGGCAGTGACTTCTTGTAGTTATGTGATTAATGACTGGCTTTTTTTTCCTGATAGCAAATATGGAAGTAGTGTAAATTTAACAACAAAGACAGAATTTTCATGTCTTGTCTGCTGCCCAAGAGTCGATGTTGGATTCCCTGGCTGCTGCAGTTACTGTATCTGCAGCTGACAATGTACTAACATGTCATGGCGTCCTTGCTCAGACTAAGTGGTTCTGTCTTTGAAACGCTTTAAGGATTTGACACTGTGTAAATAGTTTTATGGTTTTTTACCACTGTACATGTGTGTATTGGTTCAGATGCACGGTGCTTTGTACCTTGTTTGGAAAGCCGATGCTGCCCACCCTGAATGACAAAGAAAAACATGTTCAGTTCATGAAGATTGTCTGTTAAACAATAGTTAATCCATATTGTTTATCTACGACTGTGTAACATAAAGGACACATACACTTCATTCACAGGGAATAAATCTAAAGGCCTTGAGGAGAAAAAAACTCCTCTACATAAATGATCAAGTCATCAAGAGAGCAAGAAAAGACTGGAAAGAACAGAGAGGCACTGTCAGAGGAAGAAAAAGATGACAGAGAACAGAAAAGCAGGAAATAAGAATGGAGAGCAAGGAGAGAAACCTAACAATGAGGAGTAAGGAGAAGGTCAATTAGATCCAGCGCTATGATGGACAGAGCTAGCGTCTCCGTGGGCAGCCATGTGTGTCTGTGTATGCTGTAAAACACGGTAAAGTGCTACAGAGTGCTGTAACATTCATCAGGTTTGTATTTGCTGCCTCTGCCTCTCAGTTGTGTACAATTGGAATTAGACATGATAGAATAACCTGCAGCTAAATGCAGATGCTATGAATACACACACACACCTACAGTATACAGATGATTCTGGATCACACACACAGGCACCAAAAACAAAATATATTCATACACAATGATCCTGTCCTCTACTCAGCAACAAGAGAGCAGCGTAATATGACAGTTCTGAAACTGCAAACACACAACTGCAGTTAGCAGTGTATAATGTTGCATCATGCAAACGTGATGACACAATAATCTTAAAATGTCTGAAAATATGCATAGTTTGGCTTGAAGCTCACAAGAAGCTGTTGATATATGATCAGGCTGTCAAAATAAAATATACAATTTGGAGAGAATTACATCTTCCATTAGAGTTTGTATTGTTATCAACATATTATTTGTTAATCTACATTCAATTAATTGTGGCTAATAAATACAGCAGGATGTTTAATGTCACATGGATGCTCATCTTCTATGGTCAGTTGCAGTCCTCTGAGGATGTAACCTCACTCCCATGTTTCTGTTGCTTAGCCCCACAAGGCCATGTTTATATAGTTTCTATAATAACTCCTTAGTGCAGATTATCTTCTGACAAAGAACACTGCATGTTTTTAATGAGCCTGTGTCACAGACTGAGATTAAATGTACTCATCTTGAGTGTTCAGTTGATAAAAGTTTATGAATTAAAACTTTTAATGAGTCTAGACCCTGGGTGTGGAGACAACATCAGACAGACAAGGATAAATTAGTGGCGTGAATATCATTGTTACATTTCTATTAGTTCAGTCACATCATAAAACAGATTCACACCACTTTAGATTCCTAACGGCATTGTCAGTTGGAAGAAACACAAACTGTGTGCTTTGCTTATTTTTCTTATATGTTTTTCTCACTGAGCCAACAAGTAATCGCATGTTTAGATACTTTTTTAATATGTATCTTCACAACTTTGATGTGGCTAATTAGCACAACTTGGAAATGTTCTCCTCAGTGAAGGCAAATGAAAACTAGAAAACTGAACACACCCATGAACATTAACATGCACATCATGA